GACAGAGAGACAGAGAGTGAGAAATCACCCCCCCCGGGGGGGGGCTGGCCACGCTGCAAACCCTTCTCCTCCATTCTTCTCTCAGGATCTTGGGTACGCACGCATACGTGCCCAGCATGAGTTTAAGCCACTGGGTCCGGGATTCAAACTGCAGTCGACTACTTGGCAGTCCAGCGACATAGCCGTTATGCCAACTGCTGGTCCCACTTTGCCCATTTTTAAATATCCTTATATGTATTCTGGATACCAGTCCTCTATCAGGTATATGATTGTCAAAGGAAACTCAAGCACTCTCTTCCTCCCATTATAGATTTATTTTGCTAGCTGTGCTTTTGGAACAGAGGATATCAGGACCTCAGGAGGCTACTTCCAGCTGGCCAATATCTTCTATGGCCTTAACAAGTTGGACTTGGCAGACACGTTGTACACCAAGGTGAGCTGGGGAAGGTGGGGGTAAGCCTTGACACTGAGGCTTGGTATCTTATAATTGGTGTCAGACCATTCATGAGAAATATCTCATAAATTAGTCTCAGAGACACAAAGAGACTGGCCCAAGATTACATAGCCCAATTAATGATATAGTAGTTCATTTTTCTTTCTTTCTGTATCTTTACCGCCAAAACAGACTAATTCTTAGCATCTTTAGGGTGGCTAACAAATAATGAATGATGAGTCGATAAGAACCAGAACCCTCCAGATACATGTGAGCCAATGTAGGCATATTGAGGTGCAGTAGGGAAGGAGAGATTATCAAGGGAAATTTATTGCTGCAAGCTCCTGTCAGGGGATTATAAAATGTTTCCAGTATACTAAAATGTCAGTCATTCATACAGTGACACCTCACTTGGCAAGCAACAGATAGAGGCTCCCAAGCTGTGACTGTTGATTGATATTTTAGGCCCATTTCTTAGGAAGAGGCATTTCGGTGCAGCTGGAAAACAGGGAGCTTGGGAGTCAGACAGATCTGTGCCACTTAACAGTGCTTACCAAAAGTCAAGTGAGATCTTAACTTCTCTGGGTCTCAGTTTGTTTACATGCTAAATGGAAATAAGATTATTACATCTATTGGCTGTCATGAGGCTGTAAAGGTTTAGCTGGTAGGTGCTCCACAAATAGTGGCTATTGTTATTAGACCCCACTGGAGTTGCTCCAGATGATCTGCCACATTCCTTATCACACTCACTTTGGCCAGCTTCATTTGGGCTCCTAGGATCCCCCTGCCTCCAGGCACAGTAAAAGAGGGAGCCCCCAGACTATCAGGAAACTTGGCCAGACCCGCTGCTCTCCCCACCCTGCTGGTCCAGCAGCTGAGGTCTGGCCTGCTTGTCTGATTGCTGTCTCCTTTCCCAGCAGGTCTCTGAGATCTGGCATAAATATTTGAATGATCACTATCAAGTCCTCTCACAGGCTCGCGTCCAACAGATAGATTTACTGGGCAAACGATTTGAGAATGACACTGGCTTGGGTAAGTGACAGTTCTCTGCAGGAGCAAAGAACCCTGCCTACACACAGGCCATGCCTTAACAGGGAGAACAGCTGTCCTCATCATGGAGCACATCCATGCCATAGTCCCCATCTTGCTGATGGGAAAACTGAGACTTGGAGATCAAGGAGCTTTTACCAAGGGGAACCAAAAAAAAACCTCATGAGAGTACCCTGGGGTTTCTACAGAGTATCTGTATTAGTCAGGGTTCTCCAGGGAGGCAGAACCAATAAGGTATATGTATAGAGGAGAGGGGAGTATTGGAGAAATGGTGACCATGGCAGCTGAAAAGTCCCACAACAGGCCATCTGCAAGCTAGAGACCCCAGGATGCTGGTAGCACAGCTCTGTACAAATCTAAAACCCTGAAAGGCAGGGAAGCCCCTGATGTAATTCTCTCCGTCTGAAACCAAAACCCTGGGGATGGGGGACACCGATGGAAGGCCTAGAGTCCAAAGGCAGGTGAGACCTGAGTTCTGATGTCCAAGGCAGAAGAAACTTATCCCACTCTGTCTCAAAAGAGACACCTCCATCTTCTGTATTTGTTCTCTCTGGGACTCTTATTGATTGACTCATGCCCTTCCACATTGAGAGTGGAGAAGGTGTTTTGTTTTGTTAATTTTTTAAGAATTATTCTATTTAACTTTACTTATTTATTATTATTATTATTATTATTATTATTATTATTATTATATTTTGACCAGAGAAAGAGAGAGAAAGTGAGAAAACAGGCCACAAGTTCCAAGACTTGAAACATGGTCAGCCATGTGGGAGTCCAGTGTCTTTAACCACTACGCCACCTGCCAGCCCCCAAAGGTGGAACAGTATCAAGGTAAGGCTTTAAAAATGAATGATTTGGGGACCATCAGATGGTATAATGGTTACATTGCTGGACAGCCACTGGACACAGCTCCAG